AGTACTTTTGAGCTCTGTGATAATTAATTATGCCTTCTGTAGTAAACAAGTGACTTGTTGTTATTAATATCAATCTTAAATAATCTTTGTATTTTCTTGTCTTTTCCCACAACAATAGATAATATACCTGAGAGAATCCCCAGAAGATGTATACAGGCTTATACTGGCTGGAAGCGTTTCATATCTTCCTTTCAGGTAAATAACAAGTTATTAGAACTTTCTGTACCTTGATATTTTGAAGAATATAGCATTTACCAGTAGTAATTTGGAGGGTTTTTTTTTGCTGAAGTTTTAACACGTGACAATTCACTGCCTGAGCTTTGAGTGCAGAGTGCTGAACAGGGGTGTTAGCAGCTGGAACTGAAGTGTACTGACAGAAGGTGAAGGAGCCATGCTGCTTTGTATGCACTCTTGTTGAGCTTTTTGAACTACATTGCTTCTGGTTTTGTGCCAGTAGTTGATAGTTAAAAGTATCAAAATATCTGTCATTCATCACAAATGGCTTGTAATACTTTTAGCACTCCATTTTTTCCACTTGTCAAATGTATGCAGCAACCCACAAATACTGTTTTGTGCATAAAGAATGCTAGCTAACCTCATATGATTTAGTGTAACTTCAAAGTATTTCTTTTTACTGATGAGGAAACGCGTAAAACCATTGGTTCATGGTTGCTTGACCCTGAGGGAATTTGATCCTAGCTGTTTCAGACCACAGACTTCTCTTTGTGGTACATGCTGTGCTGTTTAATGTAGCAAATAAAGTTGATCCATCATGCAGAGGAACAACTTCTTAATTTCCTCCAAACAAGAGTATCCAAAAGTTGGACTAAACTAACATTCCGTTGGCTGCCACAATATGCAGAAAAGAATGGCCAAAAAGCTTTTTAGGAGGCAAGTTTACTGTCCAAATATATTGCTATGGGGTGATTAATTCAGTCCTTGCTTGTTTTCTAGCTCTCTTGCCAAGGGATGGGCTTTTGATGATCTGAATTTCTATTACTTCCCCCCTGCCACCACCACAGTATAATGGTGTAGTAGCACCTCTCTTTATTTGCATACTTCCATCATCCCATTTCTGACTTTTACATTCCATTTTTATATTCCCAGAAGAACAAAAGTCATCCTTAGGAAGACTGTAAGGTTTGTTTCTGAATATCATAAAGGGGTATGTGGGTGATGGAGATAGTAGCTTTTCACTCAGGTCCTATAACCTGCCCAAATTCCCAGACCATCACTTCAACAGCACTACTGAAAGAAATGCGAAGATGTGTTACATAATAAGACTTACTGAGAGCTGACTTCTGAAGACACGTCCAGCTTCTGGGATAAAGAATGCAGTCTGCTGAAGTATCTGCAAACTTTACTATTTTCTTGAGTTTACTAGTGCAACTAAACCTGGTGCAAATAGAGGAATTCAGATTATGTTAATGATCAACTGAGTTGTTGGTCTGGGCTCTGTTCCTTTAAGATCTTCATCTCTGCAAAAACAGTACCTTCCCACAGAATAATAAAAAGTCAGTCAGGTAGTTGCTACTTAGGGTCATTATCAACACGAAAACTTGCGCAGCAGGATGCAAAGAATTTCTTTTTTCACTTACAGAATCACAGTGAGGTTGGAAGGGACCTCTGGAGATCATGTGGTCCAACGTCCCTGCTCAATCAGGGCCACGTAGAGCCGGTTGCCCATGTCCACATGGCTTTTGAATGTCTCTAAGGATGGAGACTCCACAGCCTTTCAGGGCAACCTGTTCCAGTGTTCAGTCACACTGAGAGTGAAAAAATGGTTCCTGATGTTCAGAGGGGACCTTCTGTGTTGCAGTTTGTGCCCATTGTCTCTGGTCCTGTCTCTGAGCACCACTGAAAAGAGCCTGGCTCTGTCATCTTTGCATCTTCCTTTTAGGTATTTGTATACATTGATAAGGTTCCCCCCTGAGCCTTCTATTCTCCAGGCTGAATAGTCCCAGCTCTTTCAGCCTTTCCTTCGATATGAGTCCCTTAATCATCTTTGCTGGACTCTCTCCAATATGTCCATACCTCTGTTGCACTGAGGAGCCCAGAACTGGCCACAGTACTCCAGGTGTCACCTCATTAGTGCTGAGGAGAGGGGAAGGATCACTGCCTTCAACATGCTGACAATACTTTGTCTAATGCGGTCCAGGATGTCATTAGCCTTTTCTGTTGCAGGGCACACTGCTGACTTATGTCCAACTCTGTGTCCACCGGGACCCCCAGGTCCTTCTCTGCAAAGCTGCTTTCCAGCTGGGCAGTCCCCAGCCTATACTGGTGCCTGGGGCTGTTCCTCCTCAGGTGCAGGACTTTACATGTCTCCATGTTGAACTTCATAAGGCTTCTGCCAGCCCATTCCTCCAGCCTGTCAAGGTTCCTCTGGATGGTGGTACAACCCTATGGCATATCAGCCACTCCTTCCAGTTTTGTGTCATCAGCAGATTTGCTGAGGGAACTCTCTGCCCCTTCATCCAGATGATTAATGAAGTTGTTGAACAAGATCAAATGCAGTACTGACCCCTGGAGTGCACCGCTAGTTCTTGACCTCCAACTAGACTTTGTGCCGCTGACCACCACCATATGGGCCCAGTCATTCAATCCACCTGTCTGCTTGACCAGCCCACACATCACTAGCTTGTCTGTGAGGATCTTACAGAGACAATGTCAAAGGCCTTACTGAAGTTCAGGTAGACAATATCCACTGCTCTTCCCTCATCTACCAGGCCAGTCATTTCATTGTAGAAGTTTAACAGATTGGTCAAGCATGATGTTGCCTTGTTGAATCCATGTGAACTACTCCTTATGATTTTCTCGTCCTTAATATGCCTGGAAATGGTTTCCAGAATTAGCTGCTCCGTCACCTCTTTGGGGATTGAGATGACACTGACTGACCTGTAGATCCCTCGGGATTCCTTCTTGCCCTTCTTGAAGTTGAGGGTGATATTTGCTTTCCTCCAGTCTTCAGGCATTTCTCTCAGTTGCCATGATCAATCAGAGATTATTGAGAGTGGCCTTGCAATGACATCATCCAGCTCCCTCAGCACTCATGGGTGCATCCCATCAGGGGCCATGGACCTAGGTATGTCCCATTTGCAGAAGTATTCCCTGACCTGATCCTCGTCCACCAAGAGTACATCTTCCTTACTCCAGTCTTTCCCCCTGGTTAGTGGGACCTGGGATTCCTGAAGGCTGGTCTTGGTAGTAAAGACTGAGGCAAAGGTGTCATTCAGTACTTCAGCCTTTCCGTGTCCTGTGTAACCAGCTCCCCTGTCTTATTGAGCAATGGGCCCACATCTTCCCTAGTCTTCCTTTTGTTGCCTGTGTACTTACAGAAGTGCTTCATGTTTTCTTTGACATCCCTGGCCAGATTGAATTCCACTGGGACTTTAGCTTTCCTAACTTCATTCCTGGATGCTCGGACGATGTCTCTATATTCCTCCCAGGTTACCTGTCATTGCTTCCACCCTCTGTACGCTTCCTTTTTGTGTTTGAGTTTGGCCAGAAGTTCCTTGGTCATCCATGCAGGCCTCCTGGCATTTTTGCCTGCTTCATATTCATTGGGATGAACTGCACTTAAGCTTGAAGGGGCTGATCCTTGAATATTAACCAGCTTTGTTGGGCCCCCCTTCCCTCCAGGGCATTATCCCATGAGACTGTTCCAAGCAGGCCTTTGAAGAGACCAAAGTCTGCTCTCCTGAAGTCCAGGGTTGTCAGCTTGCTTTTCCCCCTCCTCCTTGCCCTCATCATCCTGAACTCCACCATCTCATAGTCGCTCCATTCGAGGCTGCCTTTGACTTTCACGTCCCCAGTGGGCACCTCCTTGTTGGTGAGTATGAGGTCTGGCAGAGCACTGTTCCTCACTGGCTTCCATATCACTTGGAGGAGGAAGTTGTCACTAGTTCATTGCAGGAACTTTTGGATTGCTTATGTCCTGCTGCATTGTCCCTCCAACAGATACCAGAGTGGTTGAAGTTCCCCGTGAGGACCAGGGCCTGTGAATGTGAGGCTGCTCCTGTCTGTCTGTAGAGGGCCTGATCCACTTGTTCATAGAATCATAGAATAGAATCATAGAATCATTTAGGTTGGAAAAGACCTTTAAGATCATCCAGTCCAACCATTAACCTAACATTACCAAGTCCACACTAAACCAGTTAAGGGTAGAGTAGCAATTTCATGTTTCCTGGCTTGGTGGCTGCATTATTTATAATTAAAGGAAAAACTAGGAATCATTAAGATTGGAAAGGACCTCTAAGATCATCAGTCCAATCATCAACCCAACACCACCATGCCTACTAAACCATGTCCCCAAGTGCCACGTCTACATGTTTTTTGAACACTTCCAGGGATGGTGACTCCACCACCTCTCTGGGCAGCCTGTTCCAATGCTTGACTACCCTTTCCATGAAGAAATTTTTCCTAATATCCAATCTAAATGTCTCCTGGCACAGCTTGAGCCCATTTCTTCTCGTCCTATCGTTAACTACTTGGGAGAAGAGCCCAACACCCACCTCACTACAACCTCCTTTCAGGGCGTTGTAGAGAGAGAGAAGGCTGCCTCTCCGCCCCCTCTTCTAGTTCCCTCAGCCGCTCCTCATAAGTCCTGTGCTCCAGACCCTTCACCACCTTCATTGCCCTTCTCTGGACACGCTCCAGCACCTCAATGTCTTTCTTGTATTGAGGGGCCCAAAACTGGACACAGTATTCGAGGTGCGGCCTCACCAGTGCCAAGTACAGGGGAACAGTCACCTCCCTGCTCCTGCTGGCCACACTCTTCCTGATACAAGCCAGGATGCTGTTGGCCTTCTTGGCCACCTGGGCACACTGCTGGCTCAAGTTCAGCCGGCTGTCAGCCAGCACCCCCAGGTCCTTTTCGGCCAGGCAGCTTTCCAGCCACTCTTCCCCAAGCCTGTAGCGTTGCATGGGGTTGTTGTGCCCGAAGTGCAGGACCCAGCACTTGGCCTTGTTAAACCTCATACAGCTGGCCTCGGCCCATCGGTCCAGCCTGTCCAGGTCCCTCTGCAGGGCCATCCTACCCTCCAGCAGATCAACACTCCCAACCAGTTTTGTGTCATCTATTCTTCCTGGCCAGGTGGCCTGAGAGACACTCACTACAATGTCACCTTTACCTGTCCTCTCTTTTACCTGAATGGGGTTCTGTTATTTCCTTCTCCTGCTGATTATTTTTTTCCCAACTTTCACACTGATTAATGAGGGAGGAAAAGGATACAAACAAATTGTAGAGGCAGCCATCCAGGTTCTTCCGAAGTTCTTCCTCTCAGTTGAAATTTGAACATGATAATTTTTTACTTTTTTGAAACGTTAATGATTCTGTGCTGATGAGGGCTGCATGGTCTCAGAAGAAGTTGTTCTGCCAAGACAGAATATTCTTTGATGTAGATTCAGTTTGAATTTATTTTTTGGCTTGACTATAGTATTCCTGTAGAATGCTTACTCTACGGTGCTTATGGAATCTAATAATGGTCACATACTAAGAATATGCTGTTCTTGGATCAACAGAATTTAAAAAATTGTAGTTGAAAGAATGAGTTTTAGTGACAAGCAGTTTCTCCTCATGTTTAAACACAAACCATTTTATGCATCTTAATGAAAGTCTTTTAATGTATCTACACAAATGTGTATATAGACAATTTCAGTAAGAAGATGCTCTTCATATATACATAGAAGCATGTGCGCAGCATCTTTTTTTTAAATAGAGTTTGAAGAAGATATTTGCAGTGTATGAAAATTTGACTTTTTTGAAAGTGTACTTCAGAAGAAAAGGTTCTAAGAGTGTATGTTAGAATATGATACTAATTTAGGTATTAGCTTTTGCCAGAAGGAGTTTGTGTTGTCCTTTGTTGACATGAACACTGAAGCATGCTATTTTCATTGTTCATGTCAGAAATTGAACATGTCAGCTTTAGCAAAACTGTAACTGGAGTAATCCAGTATAACTGCATCATCTGTTAACATAACTTATTTTATGTTTTGTTATTATTGTAAGATGCAAGGTGGGGGAAGTGAAGTAATCCTTTGACATAATTATTTCACTGTAATAGTAATTAACTTGAAGCAATTTTTTAAAGGTGTTCTAGAGAAATATCTTCAATTGCTTTCACTTGGATTAAAATGGGATAATTTTACCATTTTGGTCATCTTATCTTACAGGGATGCTTCCTTTGGTACTTGCAGTTTTCATCTGACATTGCTGGACTGTTTTCATGCAATAAACAAGGTCAGTAAAACAAATATCATATTGCAAAAGGTCAGCTAAATATTGCCCAGCAGAAGGCGGCAGTTTAGGAAGCTAGGATCCAATTAGAGGCGTGCAGTAGCAGATTCTCTGACTGTAGCCTAGCTTATTACGTATTATGCATTGTAACAAAACTTCTAGATACAGCATGCATAAAAGTTGACCGATACTTTATATAATCAATTAGTGAAGATTTTAAAGAGGGAATTTTGAGTTTTATTTATGTAATCTTTCAGGACAGTCATTCACACCTCTAATCCCTAAGAGTTGTGTGATGGGTTTATTATATGCCCCCCTGGTGTTACATTTTAGGCTGAATATAGCCTTTGAAAGTAGTTTTGAATTGGTTAGTGATACTTTTTTAGGCATTTGCAGCATGTGCTAATGACTTCAACTTTTGGTTTAGTAATACAAATAGAAGAAATGTTAGGAAGCAGCAGGTGCTTTTGTTTTTTAACTACAAATTATCATAATCCAGTGTTTTATAGCAATACAGTGGTGAGGTAACGTGGCATTGAAGAACAGGGGAGTTTATATGTGTAATATGCGTACTTTTTGGTCCGTATGAGTAGTGAAATGGGGAATTCCACAGCTCTCCACCCTACTACTGTCTTTTGTATTATGGGTATCTGCCAAATACTGGTGGTTTTACTGATTAAGCCAGCTTCTTGCAGATTTGTGATTTTCAGCTCTTTTGGATATGTTAGCATTGGCTGCTTGTATGCCGAGAGCAGTGAATTGCTATTCTTCTTAGTACTGGGGAACAGCAAGGAAAACTACAAAAGATTATGCAGTGAAAGAGGAGATTAGAATGTCATATTTTAAGTATCTGGAGATACAGGATTGTCTGTGTTTGTGCTTCCTGACGTAACAAGTAGATAATCTGCCAGTTACCCAAATGTTTACATTTTTTATACAGTATTAAATATTATGGTTGTGGATAATTATGGGACACCAGGGACCACACTAGTGTCTGCTTAGGACTGTGTGTCTGCAAACAATTTAAAATCAATGAAGATATTAGGATCATAGTGAGAGCAGTTAGCATTCATGCACAAAAATATTTGCAATCCTTGAATGCAACTTTAGAATGTACTCATAATTTCAATAGATAATTTTTGCCAGTTATTTTTCTCTTTTTTATTTTGTACACCTAGCAGTAATAAAGACCGAATGTTTCTGTAGTCTGGAATTTTGTAGTGATTCAATGAAAACAGAAGAGAGTGGATTTGCTTGTCTAACTTCACTTATATTAAAATTTACAAATCTGTTTTGAACCAAGACTGGGTTGATCTGTATTTTTTCAAACATATGAAGAAATCTCTCTGAAGGAGTAGAACAGGTATTAAGGGGCTTTCAGTAACCTTAAAGAGTGATAAATTGTCCTCACTGAAAAGACGTTGTCTTTGTTAAAAGCTGTTTTCTGAATTTTAGGCTTTGCAATATGGTTTCCTGGATTTCAATACGTTTGATGTAAATGAATATGAACATTATGAAGTAAGTGTTCAGTATCATTCTTCTGATTTGTTTGCTGTTACTTATGCTAAGATGATTGTTTATAATATGTGCTATTTTTTTGTAGTATTAGGTTACATTTGTTTCTTTAAACTTTGATTGTTAAATAAAAGTGTGTGGTCAGAGAGAGAATATTAAAATTGAGATTTAAGCATAGTCAGCCTGAAACATGGGGGAGAAAGCAGAAATCAAACTGGAAATACCTTTTTCCATTATTATTAAAGTCCTGGAAGTTGATCGGGGCGTGGGAATTTGGCCACCTTTTAGAGGTCATGCATATTCTTGAGCAGTCTTGATGAAAAACTCAAAGGCCTACAAGTCCAAGTCTAACTGAATTCTGGAGAGCAATCAAAGTGTGTATCTGTGAACACATGGCAAAGGTATAATAACGCTCTTTGAGGTAAAGAAGGAAACAGGGCTGGGAAACTCTAAGCCTATAAAATTCACTTTGGGGCATGGGAAACAAATGTGACAACGAAGGACTGCAACTCTTGACTATATGCAGTCTCAGAAATGCAAAGCTGCCAGTTACCTGTAAAGAGAAAATTAGGTGTTCCTAGAATCTAAAAAAACCATTATTTAAATTGTGAACAGAGATAAGGCCAAGGTCATAATTTAGAAACCTATAAAAAATTAAAAATCTGAAGTTGCCCTTCATCTGAAGGGTATAAGTTCTGTTGTTCTAAAACTCTTAATTTAGAGAGAGGAGAACACAGGCAAGAAAAGTGTGGTTGAGAACATCTGGCATCCTCCCAATGGAACAGAAAGCAGGTGACTAACATAGCTTCCTTTGCCAAAAATTGTACATCACTTCTATCTAGCATGTATTTTGAAACAATAAGGAAAAACCTGAAAATACAGGGATAATGATAAACCAAGCATTTTCTCTTGACAGAGAGCAGAAAATGGAGATTTTAACTGGATAATACCAAACAAATTCATTGCCTTCAGTGGACCTCATTCAAGAAGTAAAATTGAAAATGGTATGCTTAAAAAAGGAGGTGGGGGACACAAGCCCACTGCTTTCTTAGTTGATTGTTATCAGTAAGAACAAGCTTTAAAAATTGTTCCTCAAACAGTGTGTTTTTTCCTTGGCTCTTTTTCTTTTATAAGAACCCTGGCAGTAAAATTTTAATGCTTGGTTTAATTGTATCTGACCTAGGTGATTATGTTAAAATTCCATTTTCAGTTAGTCTATTTCTTTATGTTGAATATGAGTTCTATTTTGAAAGTGTTTTCATCTCTTGTTTTTGAGTCTTTATTTCTGCAGTTTGAGTCTTACTCTCTTCTTTTTTTTTTTCCCCTTATTTTTTCAAATAGGCTATCCCCACCATGCTCCAGAGGCTTATTTCCCATACTTCAGGAAACATAAGGTCACCACTATAATACGCCTCAACAAAAAACTGTATGATGCCAAACGATTTACAGATGCTGGATTTGAGCATTTTGACCTCTTCTTTGCTGATGGAAGCACACCTAGTGATACTATAGTTAAAACATTTCTAAATATTTGTGAAAATGCTGAAGGTGTTATAGCCGTTCATTGCAAAGGTATAGTGTAAAAACAATTTACATTATAAGTGATGCTTATAGTTACAATTGCTGAGGTATTTTTCAATATAATTCCATTATATCTGGTTATTAACATCTCTGCCAAACTGCAACTTTTCCATACAAATTAATTCTATGCTGCTGTTCTGCACTTCATCTTCTAATTTTTTTTAAGTTCCAGAAAAATATTCCCAGCTGTTTCCAAGAATGAAGTTGAGGAAAGTGAGCTTGCCAATATTAACAGCTCTTTCTGCTAGAAAGTGCTAGCACTTTCAAAGGGTGCTTTTGAGCAGGAATTTGAAGTCCTGGCAAGGTTTATAGGTCTTTCTGAAAATACATGGTTAAACATACAAAATCATGAACTTTTGAAAATACCAGTGCAGCTTTTTGAGGAGATTCCTCATAAAGTATGAGTGCTCTTTCAGAACCACAGAAATCTTTACCCCTCAGAAACCCTTTATGCTAGCTACATTGGGCATGCTCTGAGTATCTGTTCCTCCAGAGTTAGACTGCCAAGGAAAAGATATTCAGAGTATGCCCCATGCAGCTAGTATAAAGATAACAGTTTTCTGTGGTTCTAGAGGAACTATGTTTCCCTTGCCACACCATCTTTAACAGTCTATCAGACATTTATTCTGTACAAGCTCTGCCTTACTAGTGTACCCAATAATGCTGTGATTGAAAGAGAAGGGCCTTTTTCTTGTCCCGTTTGCCTGGGACCTGCAAAGACTGCATTTTTGTTCCCGGATCTGCCATCCATTTGCTGTGTGTTTAACAGGATTATACTGTGAAGTGGAAGAATTGGTAAAAACTTCATCTTGACTGTTGGGAATCAAGTGCATACTCTTACTCTCCAGTGAGCTGATAAATTCAAGCATATCGCTTAATTGATTATGCCTGAATATTGAGTATCAGTGGTACAAGTGCTTTGTTTTCATTCAAATTAAGATGGTTTTTGATATTTATCATACTAATGATGTCTGTAATACCTTATGTTCCTCAACCTGCTCTTACTATTGAGAAAGAGTAGAATGCTGTAGCCTGTTCTTAAAGCTGGGCAAGGCATGTAAAGTGCTATGTGGTTGTCTTGATTATTGGGCTATACTGAAGATTTTACACTGGTGTTGATCAGTTGCTTGTTAAATGAGAGAACATGATGTGTGGTTTGACATTTACAGAAGTGGCCAAGGAGAGGAGCCACTTAGTTGGAGCTGTCCTCCTTTCCTTCTCATGTTTCCCAAGGTAAATAGAACTGTCTTGAGGGCCATTGCAAAGAAGGTTCCTCATTCTGGAGTATCTTTTGCCTGTGTTGGCTAGTACCCAGACTTGCGTATTGCAAAATTTGTCTTTTCCTTGGGAAATAAAGTAAGACATTAGTTAGAGGAGAGATTGGAAGAGCAACTGATTTCAGTGCAATGTATGATCAGTTTGCAAGAAGATGCTTTGAGAATTTTGGAAAAAACCCAGCTGTTTTACCCCATGCATAAAAACATTCTCATACCCATATACGTATTCATAGATAGGTAAATAAAGATAGATAGACTTACAGATATTTATAGAGTTGCTAGCTTTGGAAGGTTACCTCACTCAAAAAACGTGAAGAATGTGTTAGGAGCCTTGTATATGGGAGAAAAAATTCAAAAGGTGAGTTGCACATGTCAAGTTTGATCAGTAACAGGTTTGTTTAATAAACCAGGCAAGTAACTGTTTGTCCAAGTAACAATGCCTGTAGCTACAGCAGATTCCAGATGAAGATGGGTATATGAAAGAAGCCATTCTTTTATCTTACACAGCTGGTCTTGGACGAACTGGCACACTTATTGCCTGTTATATTATGAAGCATTATCGGATGACAGCTGCTGAAACTATTGCCTGGATTAGAATAAATAGACCTGGCTCAGTGATTGGACCACAACAACACTTCCTGATGGAGTAAGTAGATTGATTGTAAATTAATTAAAAAATAGATCTAGATGTCGTCTTCTTTTATTGTATACTTCATAATCTTTGGTGTTAATTTGTTGTGTTGTGGGCTTTTTTTTCCATGTTATGATAGCAAGCAGGCAGAACTTTGGACAGAAGGAGATATTTTCCATGCAAAGTTGAAAGGAAACCGTAAAATTGCTGTAACAAGAATTCTGTCAGGAGTAGATGATATTTCAATTAATGACACGAGAAACAGGAGAACCATCCGAAAGGACATTGAACTGGTAACCATCCAAATATTGTGCTCTTATAAATGTAGTAACTGGTGTTGAGAATCTCTCAGGTTCTGAACAAACCAGTGGGTACAGTAAAACTATGTTAATCAGATTCTTTTTCTGTTTGCCCTTTTTGTATCAAGGGATATGGGGGGAGGAAGTTATGGACAGCAGGTATGAAAAGTGAAGTGCAATACACAGGTGAAGTAGGAGCATCCTTATCTTACTTTAGTAAATAGGTAAATATTAGAACAAAAAATGTACTCAAGATTTGCAATCAAAAGCACTGATTTTGTTTTGGATCATCTGTTACTTCACTGTGTGTCTTTAAAGGGAAGGGATGAAAGGGGTTTTGCTCTTTTTGATTTCTAAGTTATTGCAACTTCTATGTTACCTTTTGATGCTGCCTTTTAAAAAACAGTACTGCTGTTTTAAAAAGGCAAGTGAAGGAGGGAAATGCTGTACTGGAGTGAAGATTGTACTGTACCTAAGCAAAGATTTGATAATATGTTTCCACTGGTTTAAAGGTAGATAACATTCTGATGCATGTAATTCATGATACCACTTAATGATTTACAGGTTTAAAAGCAGCAAATAGGAAACTGGGAAGAATAGAATTGTATTTATGCAAGTGAATTTCCTTTGGTTTTATGCTGGCAAACTTTCCTGTTGGGATAATTCTGACTTTTAAGATTTAAGATAAGGTTAATTCTTACATGTCTAAATGTCTGTATTTCAATCTTGGTTTATCCCTTCCCTGCCTCCATTTATCCAGTACAGTGATGAAGATGAAACAAACTGTGTAACACAAGGTGATAAGCTTCGTGCTCTGAAAAGTAGAAGGCAGGCAAAAGCTCCAACTGCATCTCCACTAACGTAAGTCAGTTTCTGAATGTATAAATGCCAGAAATACTTTTATCCTCTTCTTTATGCATACTTCCCTTTGTCCCCAAAAGTTTGATGCTAAGGCTGCTTTTACTCATTGAAAACAAGCATGAGATTCACTGTTCCTCTGAAGGCTTGGTGAGCACTAAGGAGGCAGAACTTGGTTAAAGAACTGCATTACTCAGTTTCTAGTTTTCTGCATTGTTCTTGATTCCAGTAGTCTGCACTTTACAAGCTCCCATAGTATTTCTGAATGCTTTACTTTTAGTTTAATCACAAATATTCCCTTGCCTTTCCTGTGGTAGTATAAAAATCGAAGCATATGACTCCGTGTGGTGGTGTTTGATTGGCTGATACAAGGTACGTGCTGTTTTTTGGGGTAAAGTCGGCTAGCTAAGAAGAACAGTTGAAAGAAGAATCTTTAGCCTCTTTTCGATTCCTCTTCCTTGGAGAGGAACTTTCCCTAAATCCTGTGGGCTTGGGATAATGGCTGGTAGATCTGGAAGGCAGGGAGCAGCACTATTTCAGTAAATAAATTCAAAAGGAGCACATTGCTGTCAGGGAACCTGGTATGCTAGTCTCTTTATTTTAGACAAGTACTGAAACACCACCTGTAAAAGAAGGTTCATAGTCACCTTTGCATCTGTTGTACGTTATAGCAACTGTAGGTAGAAAAACTTTCTGTCTGCCCTTAAATAAGCTACAAGAGAATGCAAGACTTGCAAGACGTATCTGGATCTCATTTGATTGCTAGGAAAGGAATGGTGACCCCTGGCTGTCAGATTTTTGCAAATAACAGAGCACCAGAGTCATAGACCAAAAGCAGCTTGGCTTTTGTTGTGTTGTCTTTCTGTAGGGGATGCTGCTGCTAGCTGCTGGCCTTTTTTCATTTTCTTTTTCTTTTTTTTTTTTTTTAAGACCAAACAGTGTCATCAGACTTTTAGAAAAAATAAGAGGTATGTAGTGAGAATGTGCTGAAGGGAAAGGAATATGTCTTTGGAAACCCTCACACATTGCTCTGTACGAATTCTGCTTTTGTTTTGGAAGATTCTCTTCTGTTCATGCTCATCGTTTACACAGGCAGTCATGAAAGAAACAACAGATTCAGAACAAAGCCTGTATCCAGCTGACATTAAAAAAAACCCAAACCACATGACCTCAGTTACCTCAAATAGCACAGTAAAATCAGCTACCTTGCACATTAGTTTCTAAGGCACATAGTGCCTTAGTTTCCACTTCATAGTATTTTTTCATAAAAGGTACTTTAAGTCATGTAATAAAGGTTGTGAAAGTTCTCTATTATTGTGTGTTCCATGGAATGAATGTAGACTGTATGATAATCTATTCAGAGCCATTGTCTTAATATGCAGAAAGCCTATCAACTATTCAAATATTATTTCATTCATGAAGCATTCTGCAACGACTGCTCTAATTAAAACTAGTTAGCTTGTACTTCTGTAGAATTAAAGAATTGATCTAGAGCTTATAGTTGTTTTTTACAGTGTGCATTGTGGCACAGGGAGTTGGAATTTCCCTCCTCCTATTACCCTGAGTTATTTGTATAGTTTGCAGCTTGTACCGAAATAATTTAGTGAAAAACGAATGTATAACTTCTTACGTTCTTTGTGTTACTATTATTAAACCAAAATACCACTAGGAATATTTAGCTGCCCTACGTGAGTCAGAAGTTTGCCCTACTAGAAGAGGTGTCAGTCTTTTTCCCTGTTAGTTCAGACTGGTAAAAATAATTAATCTTGCAGTGAAAAGGATTAATTTTATCTAAGCAAAAAAAAGAAGCTGCTAAATCCTCTATATAGTTTTATTTCACAGACAGGGGGAAAAAAAAGCAAAATAAGCACCAGAGGCTGGGACAGTTACAGTCTTCGAGAGTTAGAGGCATTGCTTACATTTAAGTCGTAAGGGATTTGTGTATAATGTTTGTTAATGTTTATTGAAGTTAGTTGTATAAACTCTATAGGCTTTGATGAATGGATACTTTGTATATGTTCTAATAGCAGTATTCTGCACCTTTGGCAAAGGATTATGAAATAGCTTTTGCTACTTTGAACACAGGAAGGTAGGATACCCCATCATCTGGGTATTTACATAAATTGTTTGTTCCTACAAACTGATCTGGCTCTGACCTAATGTTTTAGTATTAAGACATGATTGTGAAGTAGGATGTATGAATACAGGCTGATCAAACTATGTAAGAGATGGCGGCAAGTGGTCAGAGATCTACTGCTCCAGCATGCGCTTATTTTCAGAACAGTGATACAGACTTTCTTTTGGAATAGACGACTTTAGTGAGGCTTTCAGAAAATTTGCTTTGATTCCAGCAACACCTGAATACTACATTTGGCAATTTATGGTTGCATGGATTGTTACAGTCACAGACAGTACGAAAATGCTTGGCAAAGGTTATAGAGCAATGTGCTTTTGAAGAACGTGAAACAAGCTAAAATGCACCAATAGCTTTTGCTTTTGAATTTTTGTTCATCTTTTCCTCCCCCTCCAACCCCTTTTTTAGATGGCTCCTAGCTATGCTGGTGTCTACACTGTGTAGCATTGTCATCTGGTGGATTGTATGTGGCTCCCTTCTGCCCAGCCTGCTATTCTGTCTAGATGGTTTAAGAACATAGTAACCATCAGGACCCCCTGAGAGAGAGCCACTGTGTAAGTGTCCCATTCCATTTCTCTACAATAGTTCACACTTTCTGTCTAGTATGTCTCATAAATGCATGTTTTCATATCATGTTTCTTACTGGCTTTGTTGCAAGAGTAAATTTCACTGCTCTGGCTTTGTTGTATTTTTGTATATATTTGGAATAACGGAGTGATTTTTATGGCTGGCTTGCAATACAAAAATGTGCAGAGCTTTTATAATTAGGATTATTTATAATTTTGAAGCCTTTCTTCTCTGCATGCTCCTGCAAATAAGCAAAACTATATTTGTAAAAAGGAAAAAGTATTGCTTTAAAATACGATCCTATCCTTTGCGTATTGCAAATGAAGATGCTAGCTCCAGTTTTACTTTGAAATTCATGAACTTGTGAAGGAGGTTAGTTTCCCAAAGGACAGTTTTACTCACGCGAAATGTCAGGAATTAGAATTTGTTAGAAATGCCATTAGGTCTTTGTTTTTACTAAGAGATTATAGTATTCTATGCCAAAAGAGGCAGTAAAATGGGACTTCTTTTTTCCTTTTTAACATAACAGAAGATAAGGCAGCTTGCAGTATTAGGTCAAGGCTCACTTGTTTACCCAGTCAATCTGGGTTCCTCTTCTTTTGTTCTCAATTTTTTTTTTTATATAGTGCTTTATCAGACTAGTTAAATCCCTTCTTTCTGTTACTTGGATTCAGGAGCTGAGTAAAGCATTGAAAACATACTAGTTCCTTGAGTACAGTTTTCACTCCTTCTCTACTCTGCTTTTGTCAGAGTAGCTGTAGTGATTGCTGTGCCTCGCTTCCACTTAGAAGGTGCAATGTTTTCATCAAAGAACAACGTCCATCTTTTGGCCAAACAAAGCTTCAGCAGCATGCAGAACTGCCAGGAAACCCAAACAGGAACTTTTTGCTTGCTACCGTGTCTCCCTGGAGCTGCTCCACCGCCACCCTCAAAGCGAAATGGTTACTTTGGGTGAATGCTTGAAACGTTGGTGCTCTCAGAGAAAAAGTAGGTCAGAAAAATTGTTTTACACCAGAGTACTAAGTAAGAAAAAGCATTCTTTCCTGGCAGAACTTGAAGGTTGAGTTTCTATCCTTCTTACCTTTGGCCCTGCAACTTTTTGTCTGCACTTTTAAAAGAAGCATGGGACTCTTTCTGATAAAGTAAATGACCTAGTAACTAAAGAATGAGAAGTGGGGGACTTGTGGACAACTTAGTTATCCTATTAACCTTAGCTGAGGTCATCTCAGTCTGTTCTTTTGGAGGAAAAAAAAAGAACTAAAGATCACTTCAGCTGGTTTTCTTTTTCATTGGTACCTAACTTTGTCAAAGAACGTACTTAAATGAGAGGCTTGTTCTCTAGGTTTTACTCTGAATGTAGCAGTATTTCTTGTCTCAGTGTTTTCCAGAAGTTGGACCTCAGATTTCTAAACACAGACTAAAAAGCTAAACTTAAAACACTGGTTAAAAAAGTGAAACAATCTGTCCTTTGTTTTCCTGTACTGTAAGATCAATTTCACTCAACTGTCATCCTTTCTTTCTCTTGGGGTTCTGTGTTCTGTCTAAAAACTCCCTTGCTAGAGGGAAAGA